AGAGTGTACGTACAGCCCCCGGCGTTTCCATTTTTGGGACCTAGTCCGGCAAATCCACCACCACCACCTGTGGGCGCGTTGGCGTGTTTGTTTCACGTCGATCACGTCTTGCTCGCTCTTCAGACTCTTCCATCTTCACGCATATTGGGCTCTTGGTACTACGCTCACTTGGTTGCAGTGCCTATGTGAAATGCCACTGTGCGCTAGGATGCTGGATACTTAGGTGAGTTCCTGTCGTTTGTTGATCAGCGGTCCAGGGTTTACAGAAGTTCCAACCCTTTCATTTTCATTAGGGGACCATTCCGAAACACAAAACTCCATTCACTTCTCACTATTCTCTAAACGACTACCCAATACCCCGCAGATGGATGTCCTGGTGGTCGTACCCATCTCGACTTCCTAAGGTCGACCGCAGGATATTAGAAAACTCTCAATGGATCAAACACAATGGAGAAAGAGCGTTGGATATCCTTGACGAAAACCTAAATCTCAAATGTGGCATTCCGAACTTGAATTTTGAACATTTGAACGTGTCGATCAGTGCTTCCTATTTCGCATTTCTGAGGTATGTACATCTATTCTATCATATCGCTTATCGTAACCTTATCTATTAACCCTAGATACTTAGCTCCTTTAAGCTACAATCTTGGCTCCATCTCCGCACGGATTGTCAACATGTTTGGCTGAGGAAAAGCTATGTTCAACGGAGAATGTATTGGGCAGGAATCATTCGTCTTTCTGGAAGATCTGGGACGTTCTCTGCTATGATGAGGAATCTATATGGTTATCTCACGATATCGCAGTGCGTATCCTTAAACGATGGGCGTGACTGCTATTGACCTCCTACTCTACTTAAGTAGCGACTTCAAGCGCGATGTTATCATCAACTACTATGGAACATCAAGCATAGTTCTTTATTCGAAATAACTTCAACGCTATGGATCACTTCAACAACACGACGTTCAATCTCTTCCTGTGTCTCCTGCATCTACCAACGATGTTTGTGGCTTTTTATCGTGACCTTTCTCTCGTGACCTCCTACAATCGGTGAGACGGTTTCGATGAAGATACTCGGTATTGGAAGGCGAAGAGGGGAGATACGCTGTTGGATCCTGCCTGGCTGGAAGGCGGCCTACGAAGTTTCACTACGCGCACGATGAAACCCAAGAGTCCATTAAGGCTTATCCTGAGCTACGGTACCCATCTATGTCTCTGATGCAATCATCTCTTTGCTTATATTGCTTTTAGAAGCCCCGCAAAGTTCTTCCTCAAAGCAAGGAGGTTCGGCGCCTATTCGTGGAACGCACTTGCACCCGTTTCACGCGAAGATCGTTATATATCTGGAGGAACAGCAATGAATCTCCTATATATATGGTATGTTCAACTTATATTCCTCCCATGAACCTTCTCGTTTTGCTAACCTTCTCGATAGACTGACAGATGTGACCGAGGCCTCCCGTACATCCATGGCTTCGTCCTTTGCTTCAACCGCGTTATACGACCATTTCGTACCCATCATCTCGATGATTTACCCATACTATATCGTCACCGCACAAACCTGCCTGCTCATCGTCGCTCAGATATTGAATCCGCCTACCCAAACTAGCAAATCGTCCCTCCACCTCCCTAGGCATTCCTAGTAACGAACTAGCCTTCGAATCTGATCCATTTTTGACCTCTACACTAGTTCACTCTCTTCTTTGTAGAATGAAGTCCACCGTGTTCGTGGTCCTCGTTCAACGTCCCGTGGAGGCTTTCCATGGGCGTCTACTTGCTGTAGGAACGCTACGGCATCCGTCAATCAACAGCCATTGTTATAGATCGCGTTCCATCCCTACAACTACGAAACAAACAAGCCCACGCTGGAATTCTGTGCTAAGCATGGTATCGTTGTCGAAGGCTACAGCCCTCTAACGTGTGTCCTTTCGTTAATTCAACGCCTGTTACTAAGTAGCTCTGACTTTCCTTCGTAGTTCCATCACACAGTTTCCTGGTGGTCCAGTTGACAGACCCGTCCAAGCAGCTGCAGACCGCCTTGGCATTACTCCTGCGCAGGTCCTACTTGCCTGGGTGAAGAGCAAAGATGCCGTGATTGTCGCGTAAGCTCGCGCATTATTGTCTTACCATTGTATTATTTATATCCATCCTAGTACTAGTTCGAAGAGAGAACGCTTAGACGAATGCCTAGCAGTGGGCGATCTACGTAAATATACGATGCAAATACAGAAAGGATTAGTATTGATTCCATGCGGTCATCTTGCAGCTGAGTTATTGCCCGAAGAAATCGCTGCGATTGAGGAAGCCGGTGCGCAAGGACCACCGTCGACGCTTTTGCAGCTTGTTAAGAAGCGGATTCTTCCTCTTGCTGGTCTTTCTGCGATCGCGCTTTTCCTTCGATATGCGCTGTAGGATGTCGTGTTGTTATTCTAAACATTAACAACAGAGTTCTGCGAGCGTTTTTGTGCTATACTTACTTTGGGGATTCCGATCGCTGCTAAATCGTCGTCATCGTCTATTTATAAGGCGACAGCGTTCCTGAGAGCACATGCGAGGCGACCTTATCTATTGGTTGAAACTATTCGTGACGAGCAATTTAGTGAGAACGTTGGACGATGGTGTGATTGGGATTATACGTTGAAGTTGTTCCACCATGCCGTTCTCAACGACCCCGCTAAATGATGGTAATGCTGTAAGCTATCAATTCAAGTGCACTACAAAAATTCGAACGCTGACTTCATGGACGTCGATTAGATCCCTCAAATTGCTTTTGGGACTGCGGTTGCTAATAAAGGAAAGGTACGTACTTTAGACGGTAATTCAGATTGGATAGAGGCTCACTGACTTGAATTCTGCAGGATGTGTTCGGCCAAATTGAGCAGGCTATCGAAACTGGCTTTTGGCATATAGATACGGCTCAATGTAAGTAAATAACCTTAAGCTCGCACTGTTGATTTTTACGTGTCATGACGTATTTAGCATACAAGACTGAGGAAAGCGTTGGCGATGCGATTCGAGAGAGCGGCTTGGCGCGTAAAGATCTCTACATCACCACTAAATTCAGCGGCCTATCTGAGATTGAGGAAGCCATTCAAACTAGTCTCAAGCAGGTTTGCTTACGCTTTACTATATTGGTCTGACTGATTTTCTCATTGATAATTAATAGATAGGAGTCTCGTATGTTGACCTTTATCTCGTTCATCATCCGAGACATATCAAAGATGATTTCGCCGGTGGATGGGCGAAAATCGAACAGATTAAAGCTCAGGGATTAGCGAAGTACGTGGCCTTATTTCTGGATACGACTGTGTTGACTTATTTATTTGTTTATTATCACAGGAGTATCGGTGTTAGCAACTTTACTGTCAATGATCTTCAAACCCTCTTGAAGACAGCAAAAGTTACTCCAGCAGTTAACCAGGTTTGTTCTTTCCAATTTTTAATATGAAACTGAGAGTCGACTTACAACAATTGATTTATCAAAGATTTCATTCCATCCCTATAATTATCAACAAAACAAGTCTCTTCTCGAATTTTCTGCGAAGAATGGCATCGTTATCGAAGGTTATAACCCTTTAACGTGCGATGTTGTTCTTAATAATTGTCTGTCATACCTGGCTGACTGACTAACCATCACATAGTTCTATCACCAGATTTCCAGGAGGGCCCGTGGATAAAGCTGTACAGGTTGCAGCGGATCGATTGGGAGTCTCACCTGCACAAGTACTCCTTTCGTGGGTGAAAAGCAAGGGAGTTGTCATTGTAACGTGAGTATAACGAAGGGTTTTCGCTTATTGCTCCCCTTCACAATATCTACCAGGACAAGTTCTAAAAAGTCGCGTTTGGAAGAATATCTTGCTGTGGGAGATCTACGTAAGTTACTAGGACTTCATTTAAATATTTTAGATATTCACATATCGATTTCTATCAGCTTCTTTGCTACCAGAAGAAATAGCGGCGATAGAAGAAGCTGGTGCACAAGGCCCATCAGTACAACTAATCCAGAGAATCAAGGGCCGTGCCATTCCTCTCATAGGTCTCTGTCTCGTTGCTGCCGCCGTCCGATGGCTGGTATAGATGAGCAACACCTGCGTTGCATATCGTATAGGGTAGGGTAGACATGTATAGATGGACATTTGTATTACATTTGTGCCTGGGGTTGTGTTCGGAGCTGCCATGTTTGGCTCTTTGTCCGACTTGAGTGCTATCTAATGCTGATCGTATTGACAAGGCCGGATGAAGCAACCAACTTCGTTTAACAGATTTCATCTTCGTCGCAAACAGCCCACGAAGCTGTAATAACGGTTACTATGCTCTGACATGGGAACGTTGCCGTTCCGTGCAACTTTCGATGCGTAATATGTCGCTTCTGGTAATCGGTACCGGTTGCCAAACGATGGACAACGTTCCCCGACATCTATTAATAATAAGTCGGCATCAAGGTTCATCAAGTATGCTCTTCATTACAACCCAAATTCATATACATAGGAATAATAAGATTCTTTGTAATGGTCCAATAGCTGTAGAAGATGGACTTTGAAGGGCCATCGCGGTTAATGCATATAGACGCACAATAATGAAGGGAAAGATGTACTAAGGTAACTCCGTAAAGTTCAGAAAACGGAATGCGATACTTACCGTGGTCAGCAAGCAGCATATAGCTCGGTCTCCGGTCAGTTTGCATTGTCAATCTCCAGAATCTGGGTATTAATTTCAACTATTTTTCTCAATAGTAATATTCTGATGTGCCTATATTATTTCGTTGGCAAATCATGTAAGGTTTAGATGAAGAGGAATCTTAGTGCAGAAATAAGATCAAACAAATCAGAGCTCAAAGAGCTGCCAGCAGTATAACGATACTTAGTGAGTATACTATTAATAACTATTCACCAAGGACTATCGGCTTTCAGACAAAGGATTTCATATGGAACTCATAGACTTTGTCCATGCCCAGCCCATTTGGATCCTACCTCCCCTATCGGAGTTCTCGTTATTCCATAATATCCGATATGGTGTAGTGGCTAACATTCTCGCCTCTCGTATGATTCATTTACTTAACCGTTTGGAACGCGATAGCCCGGAGCTCAATTCCCTGTGTCAGAAATTGTTTTTTCTCGTTTCTTTTGGGAATCTTGAATGATGGAAGTTGTTGGAGGATATTAATCCTGGTGGCTTAGTTTCGGGGAAGCTGTCTATCCTGCCAGTGGCTGACTTGATAGTCCACATTCCGAAGTCTCACTAAGTTGAACTAAATAAGCAGCAGATTGAATATCTTGTCCAGCACTGCAGCTTCTATGGACGAAAAGTAGGGCATTTTAATTGAATACGAGTATATCAAGAAATACTTTCTTGTTCAAGTTCCTGTGGCACTGACATTGTGGTATAGATGCGGACAATTTACCCTTGCAGAAAAAAATCTTTTTCATTCTTATAGATCGATCCATGAATAATGTCATTGAATCGTCTAGTTCGGGTCATCGGACAGCCTACAGGAGTAGTATCCACCGTCCACCATGGTTCCATCTTTGGCTTCAAGTGTGTTATATAACGCTTTCATATTCATCGTATCAATATCTTCCGTGTATCATAGCACTCCAATGCCGCACGCTGCTGCCGCACGCTGCTAATCGTCGCTCGAACGTGGAACCCATTTAGCAAACCGTCCCTCGCAGCTAGGCATTCCTAACGATGAACCGGCCTTTGAATCAGATTCATACTCGAACTTCACGCCATTAAATTCTCTTCCTTGTGGAATGAAGCCCGCTGCATTCATGGTTCTCGTTCAATACTCTCTACAGGCATTGCATAGGCGCTTACTGGCTCTTGGAACATTCTTTAGCGTTGGGTTTATGCCACAACAGTTGAAATGATGGTGAAGCTTTACGATATGTGATTCCCATCCTCCGTTTATAGGATGCTCTAGTTGATTCGGTTGCAGATATACCGGCATCCACAGCAGGGGGGGGTAGTAAGGAATGAGGGTGCGAGAGGTGCTCAATGCTCCTGATGGATGTATGTCATTACAACATGCCTAATCCCTCGGTTTACACAGTCGTCTTCGATATCAAATACTCCCTGACAACCAATCGAAAACGGCAGCATCGTCGCCCCTTCCATGAGTGGTGACTGGACGTCTTACAGACATGCCATCAGCGATTAACTTGATGCATGCATATTAGGGTCCACCTAATTGCTTGTAGCTGTCTAAACTTGGCGATTTCTATGGCGAAATCCACACACAGAACATCGTTGATTCAAGGTCGTCGGAAGAGCTATTCGGACAATACTGAAACCTGACATTGGACACTGAGGATCTTCAATATTCAATGGCGTATTTCAATATGTTACATACCAACAAATAAAGAGAGCTATATATATTCATTCCTTTCGATTATTCCACGCCATATTCTCGGCATGCGGTCCTCGTACAGCATACTGGCCCTTAAATCCTGCTTGGGTAGCTATTCCGGTATGGGCTTGCTTGAATATATTACCTGTGAAGCTGACGCAAAGAGTCAACTTCCTGGCTGCCAAACTTTTTAATATGTTCTTACGCATATATTCCTTTCGACCACAGTATGCTTGAATATATTGCCTGCAAAGCTGACTCAAAGGGTGAGCTTCATGGCTGGCAGGCTACCTGATATATTATGCATATATTTCTTTCAACCATGCTACGCTTGAACATATTGCCTGCAAAGCCGACCCAAAGCAGCTGGCAGATTACCTGATATGTTCTTACGCATTTCTTTGGCCACACTATGCTTGAATATATTGTCTGTGAAGCTGACCCAAAGGTCAGCTTCGCAGCTGGCAGACTACCTGATATGTTTTTAGACTTATATTTCTTTCAACCACGCTATACTTGAATATATTGCTTGTGTTGGGTCAGCTTTGCAGCTGGCAGACTACCTGATATATTCTTACACATATATTTCTTTCAGTCACACTATGCTTGAATATATTGCCTGTGGAGCTGACCTAAAGGGTCAGCTTTGTGGCTGGCAGACTTCTTGATATGATGTTCTTCTGCATATATTTCCTTTGACCATGCTATCTTTGAATAATATATTGCCCACGAAGCTGAGATCAGCTTCGCAGCTAAAGTGATTTCTCTATTTTCTGTAAGTTTACCCATGGTAGAGGCCCAATAGACTCTGCAACTTTGCATTCTCTCACAATGCCTGCAAATTTCAGTGCCATTGATAATGTTAGAGTGCCAGAGAAGGGATATTGCTTAAGTAATTTAGAATTTAGCTAACCCTAATAGTAGCCAAGCCTTAACCTTGAGGAGCAAAAGGTCCTCTATAGATTTTGCACTGTTCTGGAACGTGTAAGCTCACTTTATTACACCTGCCAGTGGTTAATGTTACTTGATAAATTCATTGATTGAGATAGATTCCAATTCAGGTTGCTGTTCTATTACATTGATGTCATGGACAGCAGAAGGGTTGGTTCCTGAAACTTTTGTAATCAAAGAAAAAAGTAAGTACCTCAACACTAATAGCTATTTACTCAACTAAACCTATCTACAAATCCCATCATTTACAACTGTATGATTAACAATACCATTTTCAAATGGCAACTGCATCACAGCTGACCCCGCTACCCAATAATTATTATGGCCCACCTGCGCCACTGCTGCCGTATCATTCGCAATGATTATTGACCCTGCTAAGAGAGGGATCTTTTGGCCTGTGCTGGGTAAGATGAGAACACCTCTTCCTGCGATCGTAACGACCCATCTGAACAAATTATTTGAATTAAGAGGAGCCCTGCCCAGGAATGGAACGGATATGACTTACTGAGGAGCAGGGGCAGTATGCAGTCCTGTAGTCGACGGTGCAGTCGCATTAAAGAACACAATCGTCGCACCCTTTATATTCCCCAATTGCTGTATATTCCTCCCAACCGTACCCGATTGTTGAGAAGTCCCAAGGGGCGGCTCGACTTGCCAGCATTGCACCCCGGCAGCACCGTTTTTTCCAATGAGGGCGTTGACGCGAATATGCGTGGGGGTGATGTGGATGGATGGGTTTGCAGAGACTAGGCAAAGAAATGTCATAATGAGACAAAGAGCCCCGTGGAACCACATTCTGACTGGAAGAGGGTGGAGAGCCCAGGAAGCTATATTCCTGCTTTATTCAAGCACTTTTTGGATGGGCACACATCACGTAACGGTGTGACACTGTGGATACTGGACAAACTGTCTATTATAACCCTTAACATTTTCAAGCCAAATTCCCTCCTTGAAGAAAAGATGTCGTCCAACTCCCCTCGATAGAAGGTCACGTTCAGCTTCATTTATCCACAGAAGGTAGCATGGCTCACCATACCATGACACCGCTTAGATACTCCAAGAAGGAACTGTGAGAAGGAGGGTTAGTCATTGAGTCGTTATAGCAAGTTGATGACCAGACAGAAAAGGAGAATAGGACGGGATTGCACCAAAATAGTGTTGAATAGGAATTCGAACACCATGGAAGTTCGGATTGTTCAGCGGAGTGGGGTCAATTCATAATTCTAGGTATAGTTGCAATCATAAAAGTCCGTATTCAACTCCCCTCGATAGAAGGTCGCGTTCAGCTTCATTTATCCGCAGAAGGTAACATGGCTTACCATGCCATGACACCGCTTAGATACTCCAAGGAACTGTGGGAAGGAGGGTTAGTCATTGAGTCGGTATAGCAGGTTGATTACCAGACAGAAAATGGGAACAGGACGGGATTGCACCAAAAGAGTGTTGAATAGGAATTCGAATACCATGGAAGTTCGGATTGTTCAGCGGAATGGGGTCAACTCATAATTCTAGTTATAGTTGTAATCATAAAAGCCCATATTTTGCTTTCCCCGTGGAATTCCATTCCTTGCACACGAAGGGAAATAGGCAAGAAGATAAAAATAAGAATACTTCCTTATCATGAAGGCAGTGCTCGTGAACCGTCATTGAGAGTTCTTTCAAGCCGGATGCTGAGATACTTGGCAATTGAAGCCCTTGGTCTATTTAAGAACACCTTCCCACCTTTTCACGACAACAATGGCTTATATAAAACAACGTTTCCTGTATTTCCAACAAATTCCAAAATAAATAATAAATAATAAATCTGACCTGCTTACACTGCATTTTCCAGCATACGTACCTGCCCTTTCCACGACATCAACGCCAGCAGGTAACAATCGATTGACCGGTGACATGATTAGATCTTGCGAATCAACTTGGTTGAGACGTCAAGTGGTAATGACCAACGGTGAACCCACGTCAATCCATTGATCAATAAGCCCTTTATACCTTAACAGACTGATAATTATAGTACTGCAAATTTATATTATCTCTGTCATTCATATAGGGCAGAATTCAAGTATTTCGAAGTCTTCCAACACTTGCAATGTCAGTTTCCGTTCAGTATGGTCACCTCAAGTTTTTCACCAAAACAGTCATAACTAATTCATTTCTGTTCCAATCCATTGGCCTGTTTAAACAAGGCTGTTATAGACTATAATGAACATACTAAAGTGGGAAAAGACGGGAAATTCAAATATCGGTGACTTAGTATTACTGTTTCGGTTACGGATGAGTGTCATTTCCTGGGGCACTCTAACAATATTATGTATATTCAAATATCGTTACCTTAAGCGAATGAGTATAATCTGTGGCCTTGTTCTATTCTGGGCAAAATTTCACCCCCCATCCCTTATCCCTTAAGGAAATGATAGCCTCTCGTGCCTCTCAATAAGAGCTTGTGCGCTAAAAAGAATTTAAATTCCAGGCGTATTATAACATACTAGTACATGCTATGATCACACCGCCGTCCGAAGAGCAACACGATTTCGCAACGGAAAGCTGAGACTCCTTGGTTCGACAATAGGTGAATAATGGACATCTGTTCTCTATCAAAGTCTCGCCGACTCGCTGACATCGTATCTAGAAAGAAAATTAGATCACTGCACCAAGCCTGGACATGGCCTTCATTATGTCAAGCAATGAAGATTGAATCAGAGATAATTCTCACCAATTTATTTGGATCTCGATGAAGAAGACTCGGGAGGACTGCCAAACGGGCAGTGGACAACTGGGCTGGCTCAGCGGAGGTATTCCCGAAAGG